ATTGAATAATAAAGAAACAAAGTTACCTCCATACTGATGTGGACAGCTGTTTATGTCTCTTAATAACTARTTCAAACTTTGTTTCTCCTAATTGAAGTCATTCAAATAGCTATCTACAGCAGGTAAGATATTAACTGTTCATGTCTCCACAAAACCCCACCTCAAAATATTTGAACCATTGATTTAAGTTTTCCTTTAATTTTTTTCCCCTTAGCAGCAGCAGTAAAAAACCAAGAATAAAGTGAGCTGTGGTGCTGATGACAGCCACATGTTGAAGTGTTTGAGCCAACTTTAACATTTTAAATTCATTAACTGGTGTCTCCAAGTTTCTGCTTCTTTTGGTGTAGCAAAAGTTTTGCTTTGATCTTTTTACAAATAGACAACTACAGTATGTTTCTCATGTGAWATAACTCTTCTTTACACATTAGGTTCTTGTGGTGTTCTCTGTTCCATTTTCCTGCCAGTACAAAGGAAGTGGTCATCAAAGAACCAAAATTAAATTCAATTTAACATGTTTTATGTCATCTGATTTGGTTTGATTCTGAAATTACATGTTTTTTTCCCCGTTTATTCTTCTATTCATTCACAACACGGAAATTTCCCAAGACTGTCAGTCTGTTACAGTAGCTTTAAATAAACGGCCTTGGTGTTGAATAAAAAGGATGCTTTCATAAATTTTGTCTGCAAAATAGTTTAGAAAGGGTGAGTCAAACTGTTGAATAAACAAACTACAAAGATATCAGACATATTGAGGTTTGTGTCAGGTGGTACACAGAAATACTGTTTTACAATAGCTGAGAGAGGACATAGCAATTCATTTTCATGACATTATTTCTGGGAAAAAAGTATCTGATAACAAATCTCATTTTATAGTGATAACAATAATTGTGTCACCATTTTAAGAAAACTAAGCTTCTTCTCACAAGATAAAAACTTAATGTTTAGTTATCACGACCTAGAATCCTTTGTTTTCTTGCGATAACTAAAAAAAATACTGCTAAAAATAAACAAAATGATTTCATTTTTTTCATCAGCAATCAGGGCAGTTGTGCTAATTTAAATGGAAACTGTCACATCTCAGAGCTTTCAGCAAATTTACAAACATGCAGATTGACACTGTTGGGAGCACTCACTCACCAATTTTATCTTGCAGTAATGCTGAAACAAAAAACTTGTCTTTTTAGATAAATTGTTGGCATCAAGAAAAATAAACATGTTTCTTAAACTTCTGCTAAAAGATGAGCTTTGTTATCTYGAGATAACAGAAATAAGGTCAGAGAAATCAGCGACAAACCAATCTACGCAGAATTGTCTTTTTATTTTCTTTACCCACTTTTTCCTTTCTGAGTGGTGGGGCAGCTGTTTGCTTGTCCCCAGCAGTATGGGTATGAGGCAGGGGTCCAACACAGAGACAAACTGCAGATTTCCATCTAAAACAAATCTGCTTTTAAATTTCCCTCCTGTCTCAAATCATGTAGAGAAAAAAAAAATGGGGGCTTCAGCTTAAGATGTCCAGACCCGACTTCACCTAAATTAATGACACAAWGAGGATTTAGTTGCTACTTTAGAAATACATATTGTTTTTCTTTTATTTACATGTTTTTCCGATCAGTTCTCAAAGTCGCCGCTCAACTGAAATCTTTCGTTTCTTTATATATGCTTTACTTTCTACACTTTAGTGTTGATTTTTCACTTTGGCACATAGTGTTCACAACAAAAAAACGACATACCTGTCTGCTGAAGGCTGTCATTTCAGCTTTACCTTCAGCACTTCCTGTTTCAAACAGTAAAGGTAAGTGCAGTRGCTGGGAATTTGGCCGAAAGGGGKTTTTGTTTTCTTGAAGGCTGGTAGTAACATGGAGGGAGAGAAGTGCATCTTGGGATACAACTGAGGTTATTTTGACCCCTGGTAGCTTGTTGCCATGACTGCAGTTGCACTTAAGAGCCCCATAAGCCAGCTTCAACGATGTTAGAAAAAAAATGGAGGTCTCTAATGGCGTTGGTTTGCTTGTAAACTTTTTAAGTCCACATATCACAAGACAGTAAGTCAAGTATTTCTCAGCACCAGGTTGCGAGGAGGAAACTCATTTGCAGCATCGTATCACGATCGGCCTGGATTCAGATAAGAGGCCTCCCATAAATGAACATCATTTTTTTTATCTTCTCAGACAAACTATAAATAAATAAATCATGTCATAACAGTTCAATTTGATACACTTCTATTTTTAAATAAAACATGTCATGCATTCATCTTTTGTTGTTGTTTTTCATCAGTGTCATGTCGGCTGGGTTCAGTCGTTGTTGTGTTGGAGCATCTTCCACACGAAGTGCAAAGATGAGAGGGAAGACCCTCAGCCCAGTGGTCAGGGTCATGCTTGCTCGGGGCGTCGGCGCAGCCCGTGGGSTCTCAGGGTTGGGAGGTGTTAAAAATGTTGTATAAAAGTGAGGATCAAGTGTTGAAGGGAGGAACTTCGGTAACGTCTCCTGTCACGGAGAGGCTTTCCGTTTGGTCCAGACCAGCGTGGGGGGCAGGGGTGAAGACTGAGGCGGGCGGCGTTTGCAGTCGCTCCGCCCCTCACACTGCACTTGCCGCCAGCGCACAAGCTCCCTGAGGGCGGCACTCTCATCCCTGTTGGACAGATGTAGTCGCTGGAACACCTAAAGGGTTAAAAATGAGGAGGAGAAGGATCAAATGGAGCTCGTGAACAATCAAATCCCACGTGGAAGACACATTTTATTGCACCGACGGCTGGCGGGATGAAGCGATGACTGATAAGTGAGAATGGAAATTTGCATTTAGTTTAATCTTCGAGATAAAACAGAACTGAACAGATCTTTGTCTGTTTTTTTTATGAAGATCTACTGATTACAGAGCAGCACGCACACGCAGACACACRCAAACATCATCATTCATACACAACTCAGTGTGTGTGAATCAGAGGGGGTTTTCACTTTTCCTCAGCTGATAACAGCAGAAACACGGCCAGGCCTCAATGAGTTGTGTCACATTAGAAACTAACGAGTTTGGGATTTTTGCAGATGATGTGGAGTTAAAGGGCAAAACAAGAAAGTTGTAATTTAGATTTTTGTTTCTTCATTTTGCTCGCTTTTCATACTCTTCAGGTTTGTCAGGATCTTAGCGATTTCTCGGAGTCTTGATGTTTTTGTCGTCTTGTTGTGACCTTATCCTATCTGTTCCCTGTGCCACTTTCTCTGTTTACCTTTAGCCAGCTCGTACTTCTTCTTCTTCTTCTTGTGGTGTTTAATGGCGGCTGGCAATGAACTGAAGGTGTGCATTACCGCCACCTACTGGTACGGAGTGTGATTCAAGATTATTTCACTAATATTATTTATATACTACTGATATTATTGTATTTCTTTTTACATTTTCAAAACTATCTATTCAAAGAAAATAAATAAATAATACAAAAAACCTACTGTCAAACTCAAATTCTGTTAAACAATTTTGTCTTTTTCAAAAATCGTATCATGATTTGTATGTTTGCTCCTTAAACTCCTTTGTAATGTGTCTATTATGTCAAATCTTCCTTAATGTTTCTGAACGGTCTTATCATAAATTGTCTCTCTTGTTTGTACTTCTGATATTCTTTTATAACATGTTCTATGGTTTCATTTTGTCCACAATAATCACATCTCCCTGTATTATGTTTTTGTATTGCAAAAAGTGTAAACAGCTCGTAGGTTTCCACTCACACCTGTTATCACTTCCAATCAGCTCAGCTGCTCCACGTCTCATCAGCCCTAGTTCTATTTAACTGGTTTCTCTCCACTCACATGTCAAATCATTGCTTGTTTTTATCTGTACTCTTATTTTACCTTCTGTGTCCAGCCACCCTTAATGTTTCTTGTTTTGTCAGCTTACTTCCTGCCTTATTTTGGTAGTTTTTGTGCTTTTGTTTGCTTGCCTGGTCGCACCTCGTTTTCACGTGCCACTCTGCTTTCTCGCTTGTTTTAAATCCATCCTGTTTTCTTTGCCAGATTCTCATCGTTTTCTTGCATGTCTCCATTTCAAATAAGATTGAGCAGCGTTGAAAGTGTAAATTTGTCAAAAAGTTTATTACAGGACGATATTCACTAAATGCAAATGAGAAAAAAATTTAAAGAGCTCACTTGAACCGAAACATGCAATAGCCTGAAATAATAGGAAAATTCTTCATTATGTATAAAAAATATTCTCAAACAAGAAGAGTGATTCACACCCAGCTTTCTATTTACAGTAACGTGTGTTAAACCAGTGTTTCCCAAAGTTGGGGTCAGGACCCAAAGTGGGGTCCTGAAACATCAAGGTGGGGTCCTGAAACATCAAAGTGGGGTCCTGAAACATCAGGGTGGGGTCCTGAAACATCAAGGTGGGGTCCTGAAACATCAATTAATTACATTTTTGCCTTAGTTGTTACAAAGAAGTCAGGTTAGTTTATTTAAAATGGATAAATGTAGTATAAAAATATTGTTACTATGC